CTGCAGGAGCTGCTCCGCCGCGCCGCGGAGGGGCGCGCCGCGGCGGCCCAGCCCGGCGCCGACGGCGAGGGCAACGACGACGCCACGCCCTCGGCGAACGACGACGGCGACCTCGAGGTCGAGGCGTTCGAGGCCAAGGCCGCGAAGCGCGGTGCGACGGACTCGCCCGCCTCGTCGCGGACGGCCTCGCCCCGCCTCGACGCGGCGGACGCGCTCGTCGCGTCGGGGCCGGACGCCGCGGCCGCCGCGGAAACGCCGGCGACGAGCGCGGCCAAGGCGTGGGGCCTCGGGGCGGGCGGCCAGTACACCCAGGCCGACTTCGACCGGTTCGAGGCCTGGGTCGCGTCGTGCCTCGCCTTCCTCGCGCTCTCCGGCGACGAGGGCTACGTGCCGGACTCGCTGCACCCCGTCTTCGAGTGCCTCAAGGACCACGACGGCGTCCGGCCGGCGACGGTCGAGGAGCTCAAGGAGAAGGTCATGTACCCCAAAGTCAAGTCGCGCGAGATGCTGTGCATGGCCGTCTTCACGGACGTGCCCTTTCCTTTGCGGCTCTCTGCTTCACCCGTCATGCCTCTCTGCAAGGCGCTCGCGGCGTTGGGCGTGCCGTATTTCCCGTCCGCCGGCGACGGCGGCTACGTCCTCGACCTGGCTGACTCTCACGACATGGAGGGCGGACTCAAGCTCCTGCGGTCCCTTGGCTGGAAAGGCCCACTCGACTCGAAAAAACTGCAGAAGCGGCGAGCGGACGCGCTGACGGCGAGCGGACGCGCTGACGGCTCGCTTTACCGGACGAATATCGTCAGCATTGGTGAGAGCAATCACACAAAATCGGTGGCGCGGAAGGTGGACGGGAAGCGCGCCGGGCGAGACCTGATCGAGGGCACGGAGTCGCAGACCTACGCCGCGACGCTCCAGGCGCTCAAGGACATGTACCACACGTTCAACGAGGTGCGGGCCGGCCGGTCCGCCGACCTCACCGCCAAGGAGCTCCGGCAGCTCGCGGCGGCCTACTCGAACCCGCCGACGGGCACGGTATTCTGCCGCGCGTGCGGCTGCGACGTCACTCTGCGGGGGGTGGGATACAGGGTACACGAGCACTACATGCGCTACGACGAGGAGGCGAAACTGTGGCGCTACTACATGCTCGACGCCCCTTGCTGCACCCCCTGCAACCTCGGCGTCATCGCCGCCGTGCGGCGCTTTGGGTTTCACGAGCTGCCGTTCCTGGCGTCCAAGGCGCGGACCAGGGGCATGCTGGAGGACGTCTGCGAGTCGCGCGCGGGCAATTACTTCGTAGCCTAAGTCTACGGGCGACTTCGACGCCGTCCGTACGCCTTGCAAGCGCTTGGATGCCCGTCGGCCCATCGGCGACGCGCATGGACCGCGAGGAGACGGAGGCGATCCTCGGCCGCTTCGCGGCGGCGGCGGAGGTCGGCCTCGCGTCGACGGCCGTCGGCTCCTACCGGCGCGGCAAGGTCGGCGGCCACGACCCGGACGTCATGCTCCACGCGCCCGAACGCGTCGGGCTACTAATTCACTTTTAAGGCGGCGGGTAGGCGAGCCTGAGGCCCGGCGACTCGTCGCCGAGCTCCTCGAACTTGCCCGGCGTCGACGCGTCGAGGTAGGCCTGGACCTGCGTCCGGTCGCCGAGCGCCGGCGTCGTCCCGGATTCCAAGCGCGCGGCGGGCTCGTCCGCGGGCGGCGGCGTCGCCGCGGAGGGCTCGTCCGCGGGCGGCGGCGGAGACGCGAAGCGCACGGCGCCGGTCTCGCCTTTTTTGAGCGGCGACGCCTCGTCGAGTTCGTCCGGCTCGACCTCTCGCTCGGCGACGACGACGCCGAGGTCCTCGTCGTCGAGGTCGTCGACGTCGACGAAGATCTCCTCGTCCACCTCGACGGGCCGACCGTCGAGCCCGACCTCGAAGATGCCGGGCCGCGTCGCCTGCTCGTAGGTCAGGCCGTACGGGCTCGACGACCGCTGGAGCGGGCGGTCCACGGGGACGCGCCGGTAGGGACCCGCCAAATAGTTGTAGAGGCGGTCCACGAACGAGGAAGGATCTTTCGGGGCATCTTCTCCGGGACGCGTTCCCGAATCGAAGCAGGCGAGCACGGGGTCGCAGGGCTCCTCGGCCTCGTATGTCACGTGAACGTTTGATTCGTCGTCCATCAGAGCGGCGCGGGGTGACGCCTTGCAAACGCTTGGATGCGGCCGGGAAAATCGTCGCCGCAAATTGCCTGTGCAACAAATCCGTGCAACGTCATCAATGATAACGCCGAAGCTTATGGGGCGGCTTTCGGAGGGTGCGCGGGGGTGGTTTCGCGCAGCGGCCGGTGGTGGGGCTCGCCGCGTCGGCTCCGGGGGGCGCTCGGGGAGGAGCACCCCGCTGCGCGCGTCGATTGGGCGGCGGGGCGCCGAGCGCGAGAGCTTGCAGTGCTTGGCCGTCGGCGCGACGTCGCCCACGGGCCCGGGGGGCTGCCGCGCGCGCTCGCTTCGTTCGGATGCCTTCGGCGTGAGTCTTGGGGGGAGCTGGTGGGGTCGGCGCCCTCGATGGCTTCGGTGTGCGGGCTTCGATGTGCCCGTGTCCATTCGTTTCTCTGCATTCTGCAGCGTCTCTTCGTAGCGTGGCGCTGTGTGCGGCTCCGTCGACGTCGGCGTCTTCGCTCTCTTCGTCGGCGTCTTTGCTCTCTTCGGTCCCGCTGACTACGGGTGTCCTCTTCGGCGGTGCCCTCGGCTAGCCACTTGTGGTCCTGAGGTTGAATCGGCCTAGTCGAGCCGGACGTCCTGCCCGTCGGGTGCGGGTGCCTTCGTTCTCAACCTCCCCCGGTCCACGGAGAGTCCGTTGAGTGTCGTCTGAATGAGGCGACTCAGGATGCTACTGCCTTGCGCCAGTCCCGGCGTGCTCTCGGCGTGGCGGTGGTACCAGGCGTGGCGCGAGTGTACCGCCGCCTCCGTCCCGAGTGCGCGCACGATCTTCAGGGTGGAGGA